ATACACGTACACGTACACGTACACACGCGAACGCGGCATGCACGCCGTCGCTATGTAAATATCTACAGTACATATGAATGCGAATATAGAATACGTCAGACAACTTTATATCCTTATCGCTGATACGCAAAAAACACTCTGCGAACGATCGTTTGTGAATTTTGTGGCGTAAATAAAAAATAATAATAGCGCAAAATTTCAAGTGCGCGGAAAACATTTCTGATAGTATCATATTTCATGTTGAATAACGTGTTCGTATGTTACTAAATTAATCGTACCTCTTTACTGCTAAATTAATAGTAAAGATTGATGTAAAGTTTGCAAAGTTCTGTTTTCTTTTTTGTATCGATCGCAGATGATCATCGCGTAATATCATTAATCCTTTTCTTATTTGCTTCCTTGTACCATCGACGGAACAGTATTGACGTATTCATAATTCGGTGCTTCAATCACATTTTTTTTTCTACTAAAGACACGATGACATTCACTGGTATACCCCTTTACCCACGAGCGCGCGGCCAAATTTAATTTCGCTCCTGTTCAAAGGTCCCTATCGCGCGGTTAATCAACGTGGCAAACATTTCGCGATACGTATTGCACGACGTGCGCGTACATTGCCATTACCGGCGTGCACATAAACGGGCGCAACGCACACGCGAGCTCTCGTGAGCGGAGAGAAGAAAATACGTAAACCTCTATTTTATACGCCACCCGCGCGCGCGCGTATGGTTGTGCGCGCGTATGATACAGGGACGTACGCGTGCACGCGCCCCGGCCGGGTATTACTCACTCGAGAGTATATACATACGTACAGACACGTCAATCTATATACTCTATATACTCACACACACATATAGGCATATATATATGTGTGTATGTGTAGACGTATGTTTACATACGACCTTCCCCATGTATACGCCGGTATCTGGGTCAGTGTCTTCCCCGAGAGTGGCAATTTCGATCCGCGATTTGACGTGTACGCGAGCGTGATTTCTTCAATCCCGCGCACTTCATATTTTCGTCATCGGGAGATCCCATCGCGCCGATTCTGATGCATTTTCGAAAAATCTTTCGGCACAACGATCCGCGACGCGATCCATCGAGCCACTATCAAATTTTCAGCGACAGATTTCGGCGAATCTGTGCGTCCTTCAATTGATAAAAGTATAGAGATAGCAATAACTTCCGCGTGACGGAAAAAAATGGCTTTTTCACAAATTAAGTCTAAGTGTGACCAAGTGTGACGACGAAATAATGCGACGCGTCGTTCGAATTGACCGTTTAAAGTCAGCCGACGACGCGATACAGATTACGGCGTGTCTCATCAATGTTGAAAAATAAATATCGATGTAAAGAGATGCAGTAAATACCTCACGTCCTGTTAATAAAGTTTTAAAAATAAAAATGATGACAAATAAAAATGATTCGTGACAAATTCAATGCCGTGTTACACATGCAACACGCGCATCCAACGCGTCTGGAGCACGTATAAACACGGAATTATCGGGACAATTAACAATTGGGTAATTCGTAATGGCGAATAAGAATTAATGCGGAAAAGGATATCGTTTGCTCGCGCGCGGCACGATTTTTCCGATCGGAAGGAGAGAGAGAGAGAGAGAGAGAGAGAGAGAGAGAGAGTGAGAATATCAAATTGCCTGATATCAATTACGAGATCCTGCTAATTGCGCCTGAAAGTTCCCGGCGCGCGTAATACTACAGTCACACAATACATTTCCACGAAATACTCTGGCTCCCTTAATTATGTAACGACAACGCTCTCCGCTTTTCTCTTTGTCGCATCGGCTGTCATTACCGATGTAGTTAAACAGTCATGTTAATGCGCGCAATTTTATTCCACGCGAAACATCTCTAATGCAATGTCCACGCGCGGCGCGGTGCGGCGCGGCGACGGCCGTATCTCTTTTCTCGATGCATTAATGTAATAATGGATCATCAGTATTTTTCGAGATTTCGTTAAAAAGCTTTTCGTTGTTGGGCGTAGAGTAGAATTATGCAAAAAGTATTACGAGAATCTTTCTCCCCCGCATTTTGTGTATAATATTCTATTTCGAATGCCATACAGGCGATTCGTGTGAAGCGGAAATGTTATAATACGGTCCTCTCCCCCTCCCGTCATATCGCTACCGTTATCACTTTATTCTCATGCTAATACGGAAAAGTGCACATCCCTGTAATTAACGCAATATTTAATTTAAATAATAAAACAAGTAATAACGGCGCGCAACGAAAACGTGAAAAAAAAATAAAATCACGAAGAATGCAGCAAAAATAGTGAATACAATGTAAATTAATGTAAATTTCAGAAGAAACAAATTAATCTGAGTTATCAAGAACGAATATCTTTCCTGTTTATCAAATGTACCACCTATTACCATACACAGCGTTTAGCCGCGAACTTTATTCACTTTTTTATCCCGACGCGTGTGAGACTTCGTTTTTATTATCCGTCTCTGTAAAATTTACAACTGTGCGACTCTCTCCCGTAGGCTCTTCTTTTTCTTGCGCCCGGGCCCGCTCTGCATATAAAATCGCGCGGCACTGCTTGAAAATGCAAGATCGCGCGGAATAATATATGCGTCGCGTATATGATGTATGTACGTACGTATCGGGGGACTTAAATACTCATGATAATTAATGCATGAATTAATTCCGCGTGCAACACCTTCGATACGTCATGCAGTCGCGACGACGACGAACCGACCGGAGAAACACACAGTTGACGCAATCGCGCAATGGTTACGATTGAGTAATGTGGGTGAAGGCTAATGGCCGACCTCAAAGTTTTAATCGACAATTTTCGCGAAGCACCGCGAGCGACGCAAACGCGTTTATACCTGTCGCAATGTATAATCGATGTATACGAGCGTTTTCCTCGAGCAAGCTCGTTCCACCGAAACGCCGAAGATTAACCTGCCCCGTAGTAAAAAAAAAATGGGTCACTGAAAATCGTTGCATCGTTGATCTACTCGCGACAATTTGCTTTTTTTTAATTTATAGGAAAATATGCGCACGCAGATGTCGATACGCGTTCTTGACAGAGCAGATAAAGCAATTAATAACGATAAATAAATGTAATTAGCGATACTAAACGCATCGTTTTAAAATCCATAAATTACATGAATTAAATTATCGATTAAATTAACGATAAAATGCTACGATTGTCACGATTGTCGCCCTGTTGTCGTGTGAAATATACGCGAGTTGTTTTTTTTTTTACCCCGGCGCTTCCGCTTTGTCCCCTTTTAAAAGTGAAGATCGCGAGGCTCTGGGACACACAGCGCCCGCCGTGCTGCAGCGGTGACGAAGGATCGTCGTACTTGACTGGAGATCGTAACGTCTTGCAGTTTAAACTCAGTCATCCAGGTGTAACGAGAGAGGCGGGTTTGAGAAGGGAAAATACGCGATCTCTCTCTCGGTCCCTCGAGCCCCGGCGAGGTTTCGCACCTGCACGCACGTTCCAGTTCTCAGAATCGCACGGCCTAGATTTTGCCTCCGTTACGATTCGCTTCTGCGATAATCCTCCGCTCGCTCCTAAGTTCTCGCCCCGCCGTTCGACAGCATCGCATCGACAGTAACAATCGCTCTGTCGATGGGGAAAAAATAGAGATTTTTGAGGTACCGAAAGAGGCCCAGGAAGATTAAAAAGTCAACTATAGCAAAAATAAAAGATCAACGCGAGCCGGTCGTAGGCAGAGATAACAAAAAGTGTCAATAACAAATACGACTGAAATTCGTTTTTACGAAATTTTTCATATAACTGAATATTTGTTTAGTTTTTAACGTGAAGAGATTGAAATTGCAAAAGGGAGTTTTTATAGGCTTCCTACTTGTAAAAGAGAACAGTTAAAATAAACGATTAAATACACTATTAATTATTGTTATTTCATTCTACAATTACTTCAATCAGTTAATGAAATTTACACGAGGTATTTTATTAAAAATAAAAACTAAAGAGATATCGACAAAGTTTCCTCTAATTTTCTTTCATTCATATAATAAATTATTATCTTAAATCTTTCCATAGTAAATATATATCTACGGTAATATTAAATAGGGGAATATTTGTAATCGTTATATTTTGTGAAAGTGGCAATCTCATTTGAAAACCGAAGGCACAGACCATATCTCGATCCTACACTGACTCGCGCGCGTCTCGATACTTCGTTACGGAATATTTCGCAAGGAGGCATTGGTAACACACCGCGCACTGGGGCAATAACAGCAACGGCGAGTCGCAGTCGGCCGTTCGGTTCAGAAACCGGAAACCGGGCTCCCCCCGGTCGCGGTAGGAAACGAAATTGGCGGAAGTTACGCAGCGAAAACGTCTCGCAGCGCCGTCGCCCATAAATCAGCCTCCCCTCGGCCTTCTCTCGCTCCTCTCCTCCACCTCTCGCGACCTTAACTCTTCCTCGCGCGCTCCTCCTCGCCTTCTTTTATTATCCTCTCTTTCATTCTCCGCAGAATCGCAGAGACGTATCCACTTGTTTGACGGAACGATCGATCATCGGCCTCCCGAACGAGAGTGGGTGCGAGCGAGCGCAAACGCGCGAGACCTATCGGCCGCTCGGAATCGCGCGACCCTTGATATACGTGGAATTCTTAGTATTCATAAACCAATACTGATGATTATTCAGCGGATGCAAATATGCCGTTTGTGTTTGCATTGCCCGCGAGCGAAGAAACGGCCGCGCTTTCGACGTTAATAAACTATATGCCGGTACTTGATACGCGCCGACGATAATCGAGACGAAAAGAATATGAAGAGTCGATAACGGCTTTAATATGTCGCGATAAGAGAAATAACGAAGAATACACTTTGAACATTCTTTATGCACTATGTACTGCATTGATAAAAAATTGGACGATAACGTGTGACAGATACGCGATGTGTATCGCATATCACAAATCAACGTGAAAAAAAAAGAACTGATTTCATTGCAAAAAAAAGAGGCGATCGCTCAGGAATTAGTATGTAACTTCATCGTTTCTGTGCCTTCAACCGAAATCGACGATTCGAAATATGGTTGGATTACATCGAACGGATATCCGTGAGAGTTCAGTCGTTTCAATTTTGAGAATGCCCACTCATCAAAATCGAATTCGAGAGGTTCAAGGTTTTAAAGAATTTTGTGGATGTTCGCGCTCGATCGTTCTGCCGCCAGGTAACCGATTGCGTCACCGCGTCTGAAATATGTTCGGCCGATTACGTGGAGTAGCGCGGAATCCTCTCCTCCGTGGAGCGGGAAAGACAAAGGGAGCCGCTCTCGCTCGCTCACGGGCGCGCCGATCTCCGCAGCTCGAGGAACACGTGTTCAAGGCCTTTTCCCTGTAATAGGCCCATAAAGATCGACGAGAGTCCCTGCGAGACGATTCGTTATCCCGCGCGCCGACGAATATATATTCTCTTCTCGACCTCGCCGAGAGGCGACGGGTCGTCTCGTATAAACAAAACAAAACAAAACAAAACAAAACAAAAAATTCGCGACGTACACGCGTCACGGATAAAACTTTTTATCGAAGTGTAAAGCGACGAGGAATATTTCGACGGTGTACACGAGCTCTCGATTCTGAAGTACAGTTTCACGAGAGCCTTCTGAAACTTTTCCCGGCCAACTAATTAAGGCGGGGGAGGAATTCGGTTTATTACAATTTCGCTTCTGTTCGCGAATTTAATGACGTCGCAAGGCTCGCCTATGCGGAGAACGGGGAAAGAGGCGGAACACGTGCTTCAGTATAGTTCTCCATGCGGAAATACGGCGGTCACGTGTTTTTATTAAAACTTGTAGTTCCGCCGCCTCAGCAGAAATAACAACTACTGCTAGGGGGGGGGGGGAAAAATGAAAATACTAAAAGAGTTACATTTTTATCTAAAGTATATTTTTCTTGCGCGTGAAATAGGATAAGATAAAGTATATTTAAAATTTAAATGCTCTTTACCGGAAGTTTTACCGTGCAATCTTCGATCTTCGCTGTTATCGTGTCCTATAAATATCGCAAAATAACCGCGAAATAATTGGCGAACATCACACCCTACGTTGATTTTTATCGAAAGTTCTTTCCTCGTACCGATTAAGTAGCGCAGCGGGATGCTGTTATTGTTCCAGATTGCGCTCGAGTGCGAGAGAGCCCGAGTAAAATGTCGATTGTAGTCGCGTACGCGCTAAAGTCACGCATTGTGTGGAAAGTTCGGGGCGTGAGTTCGGCCAACTTCTCGATATTATATGTAGCAGACGTAACTACTTCGCAAACAATGTTTAAGCGCCAGACGGCTAACGTGAAGGATCTACATGAAGCGTAGATTGTCAACACTTAACAACTGTGTGGTCATAAAAAGAAAACAGCGTCTCTTTTAATTTTGCCCAATGTTGCATTATAAGAAGAGAAAATACGTAGGAGCATCCTTTTTCTCCACTCGGATATAATCTATATATACGAATCTCGATTGAAGGAGGAAAAAGATCGATCGATATCGAATAGCGACTTGATTGTTACGCCGTTTCTATGTTTGGGAGAAGATTTTGAGGACTTGACGCTTTTGCAAACTCGGGATTTCGGTCGCGGGAATCGAATCGTCGCGCGTATGCAAAGCGCGTGTTAAACACGTGGCTCGCTCTCCCCGTCTTGACCTCTTAACGCGAGACACCTGCCTTGGGGGGAGAAAAAAATTTTTTTTCTTTTCCTCCAAACACGACGATTCCCTTGAAATGACTCGCATCGTTCGAGACGTTTCGCGAAAACGCGTGCACGCGCGCGACGGCTGGCACACTCAATAATTATACCGCCGCGCAATTACGCTACGTGTATTATAGCGCGCGCGTATACTGTGCACGCACACGCGAACGGTCCGAGCTACGCTCGCTCGTCGCTGCCTCGTTACCCGTTTTCCCTAACGTCGGGGCGACCGCCTCGTTTAATTAAGGAATGTGTTAACTGATAAGTGCAGATGAGCGGGAGCTACGTACATGAGCGCGTGCGCGTCTATATCGCTTCCACGAGCACGCCGCGCCGAAGCGGTGACGCGGCGCGGCGCCGAAGTGGGACACTGAAAATTACAGACTCGGGGCTAAACGACTTCAAAAATTGATGCACATCGATCATGACGTTATATTATTTTTTACAACCTTAAGATTACGGAGGAACTAAGAAACTAGAACGAATAGCGAAACTTTAGATATTTTTGTCGATATCTTTGTTTACTTGAGAAGACAAGAATCGAGACATTTTCGCGTGAGACATCGCGTTTTTTCCAATTATCGTCACGTGAGACAAATAAGGAGTGCCCACGTTTCTCTAATTGTGCCTTTAAGAATATAAAGATTTATATTTTCTTTTCTTTTATTTCCTTCTCGACATTAATTAAATTTAATTAAGTAATTTATATATAATTTGTTATTTATAACAAATTATAGTAATTAAATAATTTTAAATAAAACTTATAAATTTATTATAAATTTTATTTTTAGTAAGATTATTTAATTTTTTATTATAAACTGTAGGAGGTACGGACTATGGATCAGTAATGAGCAAGCGGCCAGACTTCTTAGAATTCCGTGTGTCAGGCAGCGAGAATAGTGACCTACGCATGCAGAGCGTTCAGAAGCGCGCAAGCGTGAGCATGAGCTCTACGTAATTGGCGATATATTGGTGATGTCGAGCTGGTAAGTATCATTAACTTTGCGTCATCTCGCGATCTCGTATTACGCTATGATACAGCTGACGTCTCACCAATTCTGCCATTCATCCGCGATAATGAATAATCGCGTAACGACTGACGTCATTAAAACAACCGATCGCGTTCGTTGTCGTCTTTTATTTTCAGATCTACCGAACGCGATCTCTCAGAAGTATTTCGGAAAAGTTGCGACACACTCGACGCGCTCTGAGAAATAATAGCCACCGCGCGTTTCTCTTTTCGCGCGGCCACCACTTCTGGAACGACCCGTATAATCGGCCCACCTTTATCGCGCGCGGCGACGGCGACGGTGGGCGTTGATACATCGTCGGCGTTTATTTTACTTTTTCGCGCGCTTAGCGCGCTGCAACAATGTGCAAGCGATGAAATTGCGCCGCACCGCGCCGCGCCGGGTTACGCCGGCACGCGGCAGGCGGATTGCGAGCCCTTCGCGAAGCGCGATTTTTCATGCGCACGTGCGACGGACGCTGGGCCTCGCGCGCGCGTTACGCGCACTGCACGGTCGAAAGGGATACGCACTGCTTGCGCGCGCGCATATACGTATATACATACATGTATGAGTACACGCGCGTGTATATATTCGGTGCCATAATTTCGCATCGTGCCTCTGCCTACATCATACCTGCTACGGAGAGCACTCCTGCAGCTGTCGGGGGCTTTGCATGCTGCCTGCCTCTCAGCCGGCAGAGATCACGTTTCAATGGTCTCGATGCTTTCAATGGTTTTTAACGGCGCGAGCGAGCGAGCGCGCGCACGCATCGTCGGCTTTTCAATCCTTTGCAAATTATCGCGCGGAATTGCGAAAACCAACGGTCCACCGAGCACTCGAGAGAGATTCAGCAGGCTATAATGCGATCCTACGGCTCCGATCCGTTGGATCCGTTGCCTGTGTTGATAGCATGGAGAACTTTCACGATTTCCATGTAAAACGATAAAGCGCTGCGTTATTCTCATGTGTGTGTGCGCGCGCGCGCGGGCGCGCGTGTGTGTGTATACGTCAAGTGTCGCGTGTCGCGTAATATATATTTATAGTGCGTTACACTCCGTCAGAATTCAGTTGATTTAATTTGGTGTCGTCATACATACGAGTTCTCGATATTGAAATAACGCGGTGTCCGGTGAGAAAAATTTTCCCCGAGATCTTTCCGATTATTATACGTGTCAACGCGTACGCGCGAGTTTTAACAACGTTATTATTAATTAATCGTGATTTCTCATCGCGGTGAAATCACGTTTAGAAATTATATGCTGAACAAATCCCTAAACTCAGCTCTCTTTGTTTTCACCTTTCGTATCTCACAGTACAATATCACTAAACGTTTACCTCGCCTCCTGCGAGTTTAAAAACACCGTCCCCGTCTTTATTTCTTCGCGCGGTAGTTCGCAAGACTCCGATTGTCGTGTTGAACGCGCGAGCACCGCGGACTTCGCATCGAGAAGCCACGCTCGTCGCTTCGTAACCGCTTCCTTCCGACTGCGGACTGCGTTCCACGCCGGACGACGAACGCCACACGACGCGCTGCGAACGCGACGCACGCTCGTCGGTCTACCGGCGGCGGGAATAATTCCCCGGCGCGGCGTGGCGCGATAACGCGATGTAGTTTTCGAGACTCGGCTCGGCTCGGTTCGACTCTCTCGGTAAACGACGGCGAATCGGCCCGGCCGGCGGCACCGAGAGAGGAGCGCGGGCAACCGACATTTTCGAGACAAAAGTCGTTCAGCCAGACCGGGTTGGCCTTCGTCGAGTCAGGTAGCAGCTGGAAGGACCCGCAGCGCGGCCATACGCGCGGGCTATATTACACGTGGAGGGACATATATACGTATATATGTATATATATATATATATATAGAGGTGTATACGCATTTATATATATATGTATCTATATATTTTATATATATATATATATATACATATATATATCGGTCCGATATAATTCGGACTTATCCGTCCGGCTGATACTTCCAACGCCGGTATCTCGACTTTCGTTGCGGCAGATCGATACCAGAAACCGGGGTGGGGCATTGTCGTATCCCCCCCTTTCCTCATCCTCCTCCCCCTCCTCCTCTTCCCCGTCCTTTCCGTTGCCGCCGTCTCGCCCGCTGCTGCTGGTTGACGGCCGCGACGAGGGTCCTGACGCTGGGAGACGTAGGATCGTCGATGCTTTAAGGCGAATTTACACGGTACGTTTTTGACAGACGATGGCCTCGATCGAAGGGAAAAAAGCTCGAGAGCCGAAAGCGATATTCTCTCTCTGTCAGTGAAGTTGATTTTTGATGTTACAGGCGAGGAATCTCTGCGACTAAACCCCCGCGACAATGTGGCACAGATTCTACAAATCTTCCTCACTCTTTCTCTCTCCCTTCCCTGTCGGAAAAATTATCTTAGAAATCTTACAACTTCCTATCCTGTTCGCGACGCCGTCTCGATCGCGTCGTATTATATAATTTCAAGTTTGCCCTCTTCGTCTCAGCAAGTTTAGGGGATCATCGACAGAACGGATGCGACGCGTCGTTCGCTGTCGGACAGACTGTCGTTGACGGTACGACGCGCCAAGCGTCTAAGGTCTAAGCTGCGTTCGCCGCGGATGATTCACCCGGCAACGATCGCCGCGTCGCGTCGCGAGAAAGGAACGAGCCGTGTAAATTCGCCTTTACGTGACGGCCGCTCCGCGCGTGTGTGCGTGCGTGGCGTGCGTGGCCGGAGGCCGCCCGTGCGCGCGCCACGTGAACAAAAACAAGCGGCGCTCTCCTCGACGAACGAACGCGATCGAGGCGGAGCGCGGTTATACGTAAGGCTTCTACCAAACGTCGTTTCCGAACACGTCCTAGAAGGCTGGATTCTCTCCACGGTTCTCTCTCGACCTTCGGCTTCCCTCGTCCTTCGTTCTCGTCGCTAAATCAAGACTAGTCCCCGAGAAAAGCGCCGCCAGTTTGCGTTCCATTCCCTGTCCCCCTGGCGGGCAACTGCGGGGCTTTCTAACGCAATTTGCGGCGTTGGCCTGATCAAAAGTGTTTCAATAGTATCTTCTAAATGGAGACGTTATTGAATTAGATCTGACCAAATGTCGCAAAATGACACGAAACCCTCAATATCCAACGCGGAGATAAATTTTCATGTTGTTAGTATCCAATATTATACATACTAAAATACGTCTTCTATTCAAATCCGTCCAAATAAAGTCCATTTGGATAAAAAGAAATTTACTCGAGAATTCCTTATCTTTCAGGAGACACGAAAAATATTTGACGGCATTAAGATACAAAGTGTATAAATGCATAAATGCTGTCTAAGCTTATCTAGCTAGATAAATTGAGGGAAATCAATAAGTAGAATTGAAGTAGAACTGAAGTATAGAGGTGGTTCAAAAATATTTGTTTAACCATGAGCGTAAAATCGTTTCTTGATATTTGTGGAACGGTATTTGAATAAAGTTTAATTGTTGAAATCGATTCCTGACACGCGGCTCCCAATTTAACGCAATTTAATTTATTAGAATCGCGCAAATTATTTCGTTTCTTTTTCTAGGTTTTTATGCGCACGAACAAATCCTGGCGAAAACGGTTCGATTAGAGCCGATAATAGAAGCTACGCTGTACAAAAACATCGCGTTTTCATTCGCATATGCATATGGGAACATCGTAATTAAAATCAATCATAAACTACTCCTTTGGAACATTTACATATGCAGCATGCGCGGTTTATTGGGCGCGTTAAGAGTACCGTAAATCGAACCGCTTATTATCAGAAATATTATACATGCGTCGGATCTCATTAAATTATTCAAACTGCAGTAACGTTACGCGCTCCGCGATCGCTGCTTATAGAAAGCTTAACATTGCATTCAGCATACATTATTTAAGTGTTCCATTAAACCAATGGGAACAGAAAGTTGGAATAAACTCTGTGACTCGGTTGAAAATCAATATTTTGAAGAAAATTCGAAAAATCGGTCTACCGTGATATATTAAATTATTCAGAAAACACTTATTTAAAGATATCGAAGTCATTAATTATACTCCTCCATACGGGCACAGGAATCTTGTATATATTTCTTTTACGCTACCCAATCGGCTGAGAAAACAAACGGGGAATTAGAGATAATTCTCGAAACGTACGGGCTGCTCTCGTTTTGCCCCGGATCCCTCTCGCTCCGAAACAACATAACCTCCGTCTGGCCGAGTCTGAATTTAACGGCGCATTGGCATGAGGTAACGTATTTCTCGCAACGACGTATTACGAGACGGATAATTACGTTCGACGCGATAGATAAAGTGCTTAAGAATCTGGAGAAACGAAAGCGGCGAATTTAATCAAACTTTTCGCCGCTCGCGCGTCCGCCTCAAAACGCAATTAATGTGAGTTAGCACTTTCTCCCTCCTCCTCCGTCACCCCGCTACCCACCTCCCCAACTCACCCCTCCCACCCCGCTATCAAGCGATGTGTCGCGGGTCACGCGAGCACGCGAAAGCCGGCGTCTCCACATTGCAAAAACGCGAAACCGTCACACCGTCCGGTGCACGGCACCGGGTTCTCGCCACGCGATGTGCCTTCAGCGACACGACGAGATATGAAAATAAAAGGGAACGTAAGGGTAGTAAAAGAAATTGCATTTCGATTCCCGATGTCGAACGTTTATTTTTTTTTGTCTATTTTTTCGAAATGGAAGCGAACGCAAGCACGGGGGGATGGGGACGCGTCCACGTGTTACCGTTGCGCAGCGCGCGATAACATAAACGAAACGTCAGAATTAAAGTGGCGCGAAGCACATAAGCTTATTTAGACGGGATTCGCTATCGAGGATTAAGCGAAAAATCGCAATGCCGCAATGATGCGTTGTGAAAAATACCGCAAAACCGTTCCACGGCAGCGGCGTATATATACATGTACGGAGTTTTTTTTTTCTTACTTTTCCAGCTCGTTTTCGTATAGTTTATCGTCGCTTAAATCCAGCGATATTTTACGAC